TATGATCCTGCCAGAGCTATTTCATATTTCCATTTACATCACTTTCAATAACTTTCAAGTTATTTAAAAGTTTTAAAAAGGTGGAGAAAGCTATTTGTTTTAGTCCATGTATCTTTCAAAAGCTTTGAAAGGTATGTTCCAATAATTCTTCCTGTTTGAATTGATTTACAAGATGCCATTATGCTGGGATAATAACAGATATAATTTATGTGAACTAAGCAAGTTAAATATTCTGAGAATCAAAGGCCCATCCAAGTAAAGCCAGTTAGCTCCCGCAGGTCACCTAAACATTCATTAATTGATTCAATAGATATTAGTTATGTGCAATGCACAGTGGAAGGCACTTCATAGAGGGTTTGGGGATAAGGAGGGATTCAAAGACAAGTATAATCCTATCCCTTTAGCAGCTTACAAGAGAGTTAGGCTTAAAAAAAAACAGAGAGAGCGTTAGGCTTATAAAACATACACATGTATGAGTGGCACCATGATGCTTGGAATCAAGAATACCTGGGTAGCAGACTTACCTCTGACACTTACTAGCTGTCTGATACTCAGCAAGTCATTTAACCCACCCCCTGATGAAATCCCTCATTAGAAATATCAATTTAGAGTTGTTTTGTGAGTCTCAAGTGAGATAATTTATGTAAAGTGTATGTAAAATTTAAAATGTATGCAGAAAATTATGTAAAGCCTAATTGGTGTATATTTTCTTCATTTCTAGTTCTTTGGCACCCCCAAAATAGCTGCTATAAATATGTTTGCACATATAGAACCTTTTCATGTACTTTTTAGTAACTTTTTTGTATATATTTCCAAATTGTTTTCCAAAATGGTAGTAATAATAACTAATATTTATATAGTGCTTACTATATGCCAGGCACTGTGCTAAGCACTTTATGATCATTATTTCATTCGATTCTCTCACAGCTCTGGGAAATAGATGCTATTATTATTGCCACTTAACTGAGGCAAACATGTTAAGTTTCTGTCATCTGTTGGATTTCATATGTCATCTGCGGCTTGCACAAAACTCCCAAAAATTCCATTTAATTGTTTATTCCAACCCATGACATATCAGAACTATGATGGAGAAAATCATAATGTGGAAGGGATAACTGTAACGCTTGCTTTTGTTTTTTAGATGCTTTTTATAATATTAAAAAGCATCTATGCAAATATCGTTATCAGGCCCATTATCAAAGAGCTCTTCCTTGTGTGCCTCTTTTATATGAGAAAATGTTCCCCATTCTACCTCTCCCTTTCTCCTTCTGCCAGTGTATTTTTCTTTTTACCCATACTTTTTTTAGAGATCATCTCAATATAATCAACTCACACTCATGTCCTCTGTCTATGTAGACTCCTTCAAACTGCGTTAATAATGATAAAGTTCTTAGGAGTTCATGTATCATCTCCCCATGTAGGAATATAATAAATTTAACTTTATTGAGTCCCTTGTGATTTTTCTTTCATGTTTACCTTCTTCTTTCTCTTGAATCTTGTACTTGAAAATCTTTTTTTTTGTTCCTATTCAGCTCTGATCTTTTCATTAGGAATGCTTATAAGTCCTCTTTTTCATTAAATATCAGTTTTTTCCCTTGAAGGATTATACTCAGTTTGGCTGGATAGTTTATCCTTGATTGTAATCCTAGCTCCTTTGTCTTTTGGAATATCATATTCTAACCCTTTTGCTCCATTAATGTAGAAGCTGCTAAATCTTGTGTGATCCTGACTGTGGTTTCATGATATTTGAATTATTTCTTTCTGACTACTTGCAGTATTTTCTCCTCAACCTGAGAGCTCTGAATTTGGCTATAATATTTTTGGGAGTTTTTATTTTGGTATCTCTTTTAGGAGGTGATCAGCAGATTCTTTCAATTTCTATTTTACTGTCTGACTCCAAGATATTGGGGCAATTTTCCTTGAAAATTTCTTGAAATACAATGTCCAAGTTCCTTTTTTTGATCATGGCTTTCAGGTAGTTCTATAATTCTTAAATTATTTTCCCCTTTTCTATTTTCCAGGCCAACTGTTTGTCCAATTATATATTTCATATTTTTTTTCTGTTTTTTTTCATTCTTTTGATTTTATTTTACTGTTTCTTCATATCTCCTGGAGTCATTATCTTCCACTTGCCCAATTCTAATTTTTAAGGAGTTCTTTAGTGAATTTTTGTACCTCCTTTTCCATTTGGCCCACCCTGCTTTATAAGGATTTCCTCAGTGGATTTTTGTGCTTCTTTTACTATTAGGACAATTTTGGTTTTTAAGGTGTTATTTCTTCAGATTTTTTGTGCCTTTCTTAACAAACTGTTAATTCTCATTTTATGATTTTCTTGTATTACTCTCATTTCTTTTCCCAATTTTTCCTCTACCACTCATCTCTTTTTTTTTTAACTCTTCCAGAAATTATTGCTGTTCCTTGGGTCCAATTTGCATTTTTCTTTGAGACTTTGTTAGTAACTAAATTGTGGTCTCCTAAGTTTATGTCTTGCTCTTCCCTGCCACTGTAGTAGCTTTTTATGGTCAAGTTCTTTGTTGTTGTTGTTGTTGTTTGCTATTTTTCCCAGCCTATTTCTTCACTACAAACTTTATGTTAAAGTTGGGCTCTACCCTGGAACTGCAACCCAGAACTGAATAAGGGCAATAGAGTTTCCAGTCAGCATCAACTACACCCAGTGTCAGCAAAGGGTCTTTGTAATTTCTTTATGACAAGTTGACTGAGCCCCTTACCATCTCTGGTCTGAGACCTCCCAAAGATGTTGTTGCTGCTGTCATAGCTGCCTTCAAGGCCTACCCATGGCACTCCTTCCATGCTCTGGGCCTGTGCCCATCCCAGTGTCCCAAACTTTACCTGCAAACCTCCTAAGTTGTATTAGGCTGGAAAAATGCTTCTTGCTGGCCCTTTATTGGCTCTGCTGTTCCAAAATTTTATTTCAGGCATTATTTTAAAGTTGTTTAGAAAGGAATATTGGGAGATTTCAGTTAGATCCTGGCCTATACTCTGCCATCTTTGCCCCATCCTCAGTTTCCCTTTTAGTGTCTTTATTCATATTTTCCCATATTCTTTGAATCCCTTCCATCCTTAAACTCATGATGGACCCGTTTGGCAGTCTGCTGAAGCCTATGAACCCCTTCCCAGAATAATGTGCTTAAAAGCAAAAAATAAAATAAAATAAAATATATAGAATTGTAATAGAAACAAATTATATTGAAATACAGTTGTAAAATATAAAAAAAAAAAAACCAAGGTCACAGACCTCAGGTTAAGAACTCCTATTAGCCCAATGAATTCAAACACAGTTTAAAACCCAATGTGAAAGCCAGAAGACGTATTGATTTACTGAGTCACTAATGACCTTTTTTCCACCTTTGGACCTCACAAAAAACTTTGTGCTTCTTACATTCACAAATATTAAATCATTTTGCATTATAACTAATTGTGTGTATAATGTCTCTCTATTAGATGGAAATATCCATAAACTCTGGTCTTACATAAACTTCAGATCTCATCTAGTTCTCTGCACATAGTAGGTGCTAAATAAGCATTTTTGAAGTTGAATTTAATTCTTTCTACACATCCCTTCATCTCTGTCCCTTGAGAAGAAATAGGCATTTCTAGGAAGTTCTTTATGTTTCAAGTTCCCTTTGGTAAATCAATTAACGGTTCCACAACGCCTCACTGATTTTCATTAACACAAACTAGCTCTGCCCAGGACCAACTACTGCTATATTTCACATTTTAGCCACCTAAATGCACTACATGATTCCTGCTTTTTGTTAGATTTGCAGTTTCCTATCTGAGGAAACTGACCTTAGACCTTATACTCTCTTAAGTGCCTACATGCACCCAAAGAGTCATTGAGCACATAGTAACTCATGCTCCAAAGCAAGTCCTTTGCCAGTAATTTACTCCTCCAATCCATCTTCTTATTTGTTCAAAGACAAAAGTGGCTTTGAGAGCTACTCAGCTGTAAATGTCTGCTCACCTAAAGCAGAAGACCATGAATTTGAAAAATCATCAGACTACACTGTCAATCCTGGCTCTGTCATTCTCATTACTTACTCAGTTCTTTGACAATGGGCAAATTATATTAGTTTATTTAGCCTATAATTCCCATCTGCGACAAAGGGCTTATAGCATCTGATCCACCTCTATATCTTCAGGAAACAGTGAGGATTGAACAAGAAAATAAAAGCAAAACTCTGCATTTCTCAACAGACATGCATTCCATGGATGCAATAAAATCTTTCTCATTCAAAAGACTTAACTGAATAAGAAAAAAAAACTGAATTGTACAAAGTTTTTTTTTTAAGAAAAGCAAATTAATTACTTTAAAGAAATAATAGTAACAGAACTATAGATTGAGAAATTGTCATCAAGTAGGAAGTCTTGCTGGGTGTACTTTGGTAAATATATAAGGTTCATTTGCATGATATAGTGAAAAGAACATTGAACATAGAATTATGAGAATAGGGTGTAAATTCCAGTTCCTGTCATCATTAGCCGTGTGATCACGAATAATTTAATCATTATGATTCTCAGTTTCTTCATCCATAAGTTGTGAATAATAACTAACTCCCTCATAAAGCTGTTATGAGGAAAGAACTTTGTAAAACTTAAAGTGCTATACAAATATTAACTATTGTTATGAATAGTATCCATTTCAATATTTTTATGTAGAATGTGCCAAAGTACCTTAGATAATTTATTTGAAAGGGTAGGTTAAACATGCTTTTGATAAAATGTTATTTTTTTTTAGGCAATTGGAATTAAGTGACTTGCCCAGGGTCACACAGCTAGTAAGTTGGTCTGAGGTCGGGTTTGAACTCAGGTCCTCCTGACTTCAGGGCTGATGCTGTATCCACTGTGCCACCTAGCTGCCCCCAATAAAATGTTATTGCATAGTGTCAAGGTCTTACAATTTCCAACATAAATGGATTATAGGGGTAAGAGAAAAGTATTTAGGTGAAGTTATTTTCAAGGATATGGCAGTTCCTTACCTCATGATAAAGCAGCATCACTGTATTGCATAGTTGATGTATGTCATGCTTTAAGACGGCTAGCAATTTGCAATAAGCCATCAAAAATCACTGTCTCCTTCATTATTTCCTCATACTCCCTGAAGACACACACACATCACAGGGAGAAACAAACAAGAAAAGTCTATGTAATCAGAATGCTTCCAGCTACATCTCTTTGTCACACAGACATGTCACCTGACTACACTGCTTAATTTCAGACAACATGGAAAGCTCAGTAGCATGGGGGTCAATTCAGAACTATTGAATCAGAAACCTATACTGCTAGCTCTACTGTTCTACCTAGGCTGGCTCTAGGCAGCCTCAGACCTTCTCAGGTTTATTGCTGAAAGTTCTTCTTACTTGACAGATAAGTTGTGCTGTCTTCCTTATGAGGATAACAATTAATCAGCTTAACAAAACTTCTCCTGGGTATGTTAAAGGTAATTTTCAGCCAAGACAAATTATAAAGAATTATTAATAATTGATATTTATTAAATGGGGAGAGGATTGCCACATATAATTTGAGTATCCTAAAGAATGAGATACTTGATTATCTTAGCAGAAAGGAGATGAATTAATTCATGACTTTAAGTTGTATTCCTTATTCCAGCAGAGAAATTATATTCTATTTTTGGTTTCAGTTTGTTGTTGAGCAGTTCAGTGTTCAAAAACGATTTTTCCTTTCCATAAAGTTATTTGTTCAACCATAGATTTTATAAAGTAATGTCTAGCTATCTTACTCAGTAAACTGAGTTTAGAAACATATTTATAGGGGCAGCTAGGTGGTGCAGTGGATAGAGCACTGGCCCTGAAGTCAGGAGGACCTGAGTTCAAATTCGGCCTCAGACACATAACACTTACTAGCTATGTGACTCTGCCTCAATTGCCTCACCAAAAATAAGTAAACAAAAAAATATTTATTATTTATATATATATATATATATATATATATATATATATATATATATATATATATATATATATATATATATGAGAAAATATATTTGTAGAGGGCCCTAGCACAGAGCTAGAGTAGCTCATATGAAAGAAAATTTTGTTCAGTAAATTTTTTGCTATCATTAGAAACTCTGTATTCATAAAACAGTATAGAGATAATAGAAATTATGAGCATCACTTTACAAAACTAAAAAATTAACATCAGAGAAAACAAGTTTGCAGAAAGCTTGGTATGTGTCCAACTTAAGCTAAATCATCCTGTGAGCCTAGATAGAGGAAATTGAAAGGGCAGCAAATAGACATGAAATGAGAGATTTTTCACTGTGTCTATAGTGATCTATTCTTATCATAAATGACAGTGGTGCAACCAAATTTGGACACTAATAGTCCTATACCTGATTTGAGAAAATAGAAATGGCACTTCAGAATGTGAAGCCAGGGAGGGGGGCTGAACTGACAAAATACTCATGCTTTGGCATTTCACTGGAATTGTGATAATATGGATTTGACACTTCTTCTACCAATGTAAATACCAATCCTTCCATTCATTTTTATCTTGCATAGTTATTGCCCACGTCCTTCTACAAATTCTCCATAAAGGATATATTATGTGTTGAAGTCCTTGTTCTAGATCTTTCATTATAATATGAAAACCAACACAGTCCTAGGATTGTACATTTTTATGCCTTCTATTGTCATTTGGGTCACATACAAGTCTGATTCTTTTGCTGTTTCTCAATTTGAAGCCAATCAACATCATGTACTGGTGTCTAAAAGATGGACTTTTTCAGCATAAGGGCAGCTTAGAATGACAGAAAGTACTATATGATTTCCAAAATAAAATCTAGCCCAATCCCAGTCAGGTATTCAATTCTGGGCCCAGTTCATAGCCTATCTGTATTATGTCTCTGAAATGGAGAGAGTGTGTGTGAGTGAGAGAGAGAGAGAGAGAGAGAGAAGAGAGAGAGAGAGAGAGAGCTATCAATCTATACCTAGATCTACGGATAGAGATCTATCTATCTCTATCTCTCTAGCTATACCTACTAATGCATTAATTCAGTGGGCTAATGATCTGACAATATGCTATAATCCAGCAATACATAGTCTTCATTCACTTGATTTTTCTACTGCATAGTATGGTGAGGTAATATAGTGGCAAAAAGCACTGGATTTGAGATCAGAGGTCCTGAGGTTGAAATCAGTCTCTAATACTTACTGGTTGTATGGTCTTGAACAAATTACTTAATATCTCTGTTTCCACATCTGTAAAATAAGTGGTTGAACTATCTCCTGGTTGGTCAAGTTCAGCCCTAGAACCTACTATGAGTGGCCACATAATTTCACCAGGGAGAGGCTGCGTTGCTAGGCTTGACATAATTAGCTTAATGTTATTGCAAACAGGTCCACCTGTAGGAAATCTTTCTTCTATTTGAACTTTGCACAGGACATATTCTTCTGGTGAATGTCTCCCTATATGATGTCTTAACTTCAAAGGTGTGAGTATAGGGTATGCCAAGTATTCCAAGGTATACTCTAATGTTTTTCTTAAATAGTTTTGCTTTATAACTTGATCATGATACACTCTTTTTAAGATATGGATGGATATACACAACAAGTGCCAAATCATATAATATAGATATAGAAATATATAGCAAATCTACATTAACTCATAGCAAGCAACCCAATTACTACAGTATCACATTACTATTGGTCATCTCTGGCCAGTGTAAGTGGCTGCCTCATTCTAACAATTCCATGGCTCTGGGCTTTAAAACCATAAGCTATGTTTCAATTCAACAGATGATGTCCCATTTTCATTTTAAAACATGTAGTCATTAAGTATTAAGAAAAGTAGACAAACAGAATTTCAATGAATGTACTTCTACTAATAGAAGTAGAAATTCCTTGGACTCTTCCATTAAGAACTTATAAGTACTCCTTGAAAAAATTAAAATGAACATCTACTGGCATCATTTATTGGCAGCTTTTTAATTCAACCTAGAAGCTACATATATTTTTATTTATAAAGACCTACAAGTTGAATTAAAGTCTAGGTGGCATGGATTTCATCTATAATTCAGTCCCTAAGCTTCTGAGAAAGATCAAATTCACTCTAACAACTTAATATTTAATAAACACAGCACTATATAACTTACCTAAAGCTCTTCACCATCAGTGATTAATCTACAGAGTACTCCTGGAGACAAATAAATCAATATTGTCTCATTTTTACATACAAATAATCTTAGTGAACTAATTTAAGCTATTTGCTTAAGAATAGGAAGAAAGTCAATGGCAGGTAAATATAAATACATTTTGTTTTTGTTTTTTTAAATATACTTGTAAGGAAGAAATTACTTTAGACTTCTATTCACCAGAAAAATTGACATCCTTTTTTCATCTTAAGGCTTTTATAAGTGAACAATCTTACAGCTTTTGTCTAAAAAAATAGAAAATTAATATGTTGCTAAGCAGATAGCAAAGGTACATTTATTCTGAATTTGAATACTCAAGTAAATTGGAGGGAGAGGGGAAAAGATGAGAAATGTGATGGTAGGAAGGAAGAAAGAACAACAATAATATGAACCTGTCCAGGAGGAAAATAAAGATCTGCCAGGGATAAAGATTAATGGAAGAATGATAATGATTATTCATATTTGTATTATACTTTACAGTTTTCAAAGAAAATATGGAGATTTAAGAAGAGCAAAAAGTAACATGGAAGAAATGGTAGCTTTAGAGAGAAAGGCATTAGAACCTTGGGAAAACATGTTGTCGGGCAGACCTGCACAGCTTGGCAGTAGGTAGGGTCAAAATTAAAATAGCCTAAATTTCTTTGGGCCACAGACAGATTTTTCTTTTTTTTTTTTCTTTGATGAGGCAGTTGGGGTGTGACTTGCCCAGGGTCACACAGCTGGTAAGTATAAAGTGTCTGAGGCGAGATTTGAACTCAGGTCCTCCTAATACCAAAGAGAGAGCTCTATTCACTGCTCCATCTAGCTGCCCTCTACAGATAGATTTGTAGTAGCTCACTTTCCAAGTAAAGGTGTAATTAATGATTAAACCATTTTGCAAATAAACCATATTTTAAAAAGGGAAATTTCAACTAATATCAATTAATTATACTTATTACTTGAGATTTTTATTTATCATGAAATCACATTAATATTTAAAAATTTACTTTGCTAAGCAGTACAAGTTTTGATACATTTTTCAGGTTAAAATTTAGTTAATGGGACTTAGCAGTAATCAGTTTATCATACTCCAGAATCACGTTTGAAATCCATTTCTTCAGAAATCTGAAAACTAACTTTAGCAGCTGCCTCATTTTCTGATTTTACTTTCTTGAAAAACCATTGTTCCCCACTGAAATTTTTCAGCAATTTGGATGCTTTAATTTGTTTTTCATTGGTGTCCAATTTGCTTAAGTCAGGATGTTTTGATTCATAATAGCGATGAAGATTGAGAATGGCTATTACAGGGGCAACTAGGTGGCGCAGTAGATAGAGAGCACCAGCCCTGGGTTCAAGAGGACCTGAGTTCAGATCCAGCCTCAGACACATAACACTTACTAGCTGTGTGACTCTGGGCAACTAACTCACTTAACCTTATTGCCTAACCAAATAAAAAACAAAACAAAACATCAAAACACAATGGCTATTACTTCTAGGCAAACGAGGTACAGATTAAACACTCTACATTCTGATTCGATCTTCCTTTCTGTTTATCACCCATTTTACAAAGTCACCCCGAAAACATTGATGTTAGAACCAAACAATTTCCACAGCAACCGCTCACATATGTGGAAATACTGAACTGAGTGTCTGACCCTGGAGGGAGTGCCAAACACTCATGTAACTTGCAGGGCAGCCAGGTAGCAAAAGAGTGGAAGAAGTCCTTGAGTTGTTGGCACTCATCACAGAGAGGGCATAAGCTGCGTTGGCACATGGCTGCATTCACTTTGTCCCTGTTTTATGCCATTAATGACATCACAGTGAAAAGATATGACTTTCACTCCTCTCAGACTAGAGACAGGGTGACAATGGTTGGTTGCCATGGTCACACGACAAACAGGATAGAGTACACAGTGGCAACCCACCCCCCAAGTTACATGACAGGTACAATGGTGACTAGTGAAAGGCAAGTTAAGCAGGGCACAAACAGAGCACACATTACATCTTTACTCTCTTTTACATCCTCTACATTGCAAGCCACCCCAAATCCTTTGGTGAGTCACAACTGGCCCAACGTCAAATGTTGCGCAGGCCTGATATAGGGTGATAGCTGGAAGGAGGACTGAAAAGGCCTCAGGCTGAAGGTGATATTTGAACAGAATCTTGAAGGAAAAGAGGAATTATAAGAGGCAGAGATATGGAGGGAGACCATTCCAGGCATAGCAGAGATCACCCTGGGAGATGGAAGGAAAGCAAGACCAGTATGGCTGCATCATAAAATAAGAGAAGGGGAAAAATGAGCAAGAAGATCAAAAAAGTAGGAAGAGGAAATACTGTGAATGGTTTTAATGCCAAACAAAGGAGTTTATATCTGTTCCTGGAGGTAACAGGGAATCACTGAAGATTATTAAATAGGGGACGTGACATGGTGAGACTTGTACTTTTAGGATAATTACTTTGGTAGTTATAAGGAGGAAGGATTTGACTTTTTTTTTTAACATTCCAGAAGTGCAAAGCTAGTTCTTTTAAATCCCAACTACTTGGTTCTGACTACAGAGAATGGATTTTTATGTCAGACCCAGTCTGATGCACTGGGTCATTTTGATATGGTCTCAGTCCGAGGGGTATGGCTAGGGACTCTCAGGCATATACAATGATAGAGTAGGAGAGCTGACAAGCCCATTCTTCACTCTGAGTCACAGTTTCCTCATTTATAAAATTTGTTGTTATTCAGTCATTCAGTTGTGTCCAACTCTTCATGACCTCATGTACTATACTGTCTGTGTGGTTTTCTTGGCAAGTATACTGGACCGGTTTGCCATTTCCTTCTATAGTAGATTAAGGCAAATGGAGGTTAAGTCACTTGCCTAGCTAGTAAGTGTCTGAGGCTGGATTTGAACTCAGGTCCTTTTGACTCCAGGCCCTTTGTTTCATCCACTGAGCACCTAGCTGCCTCTTATCTGTAAAATTAAAGAGCTGTAATAGATAACATTTTAATGTCTTTTCTAGATCTAAATCCATGATTATTATTTTAAATATGGCCCAAAATGGGAAAGAAGAATAAAGTGTTTGAAATATTTCAGAATTTTTTTAGCCCTAACCACAATTTCTCAAGAGAAATCAATTTTGTTATCAGCCTCTAAAGTTTATGTTGGTTTTTTTTAAAAGGCACCATTTTCTTTTTCCATGATGGGCTATAAAATCCTATCTTAAAGCTATGATTTTTATACCTAAAATTCAAATTAATAAATGACTAAAATGCAATACTTAAAGAACAATGTAATTGATATGTAATCACAAATCAAGCCTACACTGGTAATCCCAGAAGAGATGCTAGGCTATAAGCTATAAGCTTTTGTAAACAAAAGCAATATGGAAGCTAAAAATTCATGAATATGTATTTACAAAACAATGATAAATAACTCTTACTTTAGAGATTTTTGTATTGAAGGGGTAAAATTTTTTTGTTTGTTTTGGTTTTACCATCCAGAAAATAGCACTAAAGCTAAAGGATTTTGTTGCTCACAGATATAAATAATAAAGGCAGGAACATATGTCAATTGAGTAGAGAACTAGGACTTTGCCTCCTCCCTTTTCCTTTTCATCCTGTCTCAAATTCCTCTTCTGTCAAACTTGAGATTTGAGGAACTTGTCTAAGACAAATTGCCTCAGTTCAGCCCTAGACACAGGAGCTGGTCACAACTACAGGCTATGAATAAATAGGTTTTGCCCACAAAGATAAAACGACTGAAGCTAAGATGGTTAGTAGTTGGCCCTGAAGCCCTAAAGTCAGAGGCTGGAGAGTATCCAGGAAAAAAAAAAGGCAAGCAGAATGGTAAAGACCCTTACATCTGTGTCAGATAATGACCATTTATTAATAATGGCTAGCATTTATGTAGTATTTTAAGATTGCAAAGCACTTTACAAATATTTCATTTTTTCCTCACAGCAACTCTGGAAGATAGGTGCTATTTTTATCTCCATTTTACAGAGTAGGAAACTGAGGCAGACTGGGATTAAGTCACAAAGCCAGTAAGTGTCTGAGGCAGGATTTGAACTCAGATCTTCATCACTCCAAGGTACTCTATCCTTAGTCACCATTTCAAAGTAAGGATTCTTAACTGTTAATGTCATCAACCCCTTTGACTGTTCAGTAAAGCCTTTGGGCCCCTTCTCAAAATAACATTCGTAAATTCATAAAATAATATATGTAGGATAAAAAGGAAACTTATTATGTTCAAATATAATTCTCAACATACTTTAAATACAAGATCATCTACCTCAGTTTAAGAACCTCTTATTTAAAAGAATTGGGAGTGTTTAGACTAGGAAAGAGAAGGCAAAGAGGAAACGTGTTCAAGTATTTGAAGGGTTATCATGTGGAAGAAAGATTAGACTATTCTAATTGCTCCAAGGGGACAGAACCAGAAGCAATGGATAGAAGTTACAAAGACACAAATTTAGGCTTGCCATCAGGAATTAGATGCCTAACAATTAGAGCTATGCAATCTTAGGATCAATTACCTCCAGAGCTAGTGGATTACACCTCCCTGGAGAGGTGACTCTGGCAGAGTGTGGATAATTGTCAGGTTATGTTATAGTGAGAATTCTTTTTAAGTATGGTTTAAACCAGATAGCTGCTTTAAAATCCTAGGATTCTGTGATCATGATAGCAAGGAGTAATTTCCAACAGTCGCTATGTTGCCAATGATGCACCCAATGCAAAGGAGAGAAGCAAAGGAGGGTAGAAAGGTGGAGAGCAGAAGAGACATAAGGTCCAGTAAGGAGGCAACAAAGACTAATGAAGAACATCAAAGGCATGATATAAAGTCTCAAAGTCCAGGTGTTGGTTGAACAGAGAGCAATGCCTAGTGGGAACCAGGACCATAGAAAGCAGCATAATAACACCACCAGAAAACATTGACCTTCATGCATTAAAGTGATATCAAACTCAAAAAGAAATAGATGCCACTAAGCCATATATAAAGATACCTGAGGGCCACTTATTGACTTAG